GCTCGGGCTCCGAATCCCGAAAGACGAACCCGAGTTAGCCCTGACCCGAATTAGCCCTGATGATTCGGGGCTCTGACTTTGGGCCACAGGACCATCGCAGATCGATCCGGTTCGCAGAAGGCCGCAGAGAGGTGGTCTGCACCCCCTGTGGAAAGGAAGGTGATGCCGCTTGGGCAGGTCGTGTCGGAGGATTCTCCAGGGGGTGTCCCTGGGGTAGTTGTTCATCCCAGGTTCGTTTTTGACGGTCCCGTGGCCCGAAAACGGCCCGCTGAGGCCAAAACTGACGAAAATCTAAAGGCGACGAAGACACAAAAATTCCCGGTTCAAGTTGCATTATTTAATCGCTTCGCTCATTCCGCCGGCCCGTATTGTGCCCTCGCTGGCGTCTGGGCTTTTGGGGGCCTTTTGGTTTCCTCGTTGGGGTTTTCTTGGGGGCCTCTTGGGTTTCTGTTGGAGCCTCTTTGGGGTTTCTTGGAGCTCCTTTGGAAGCATTTGGGAGCATCTTGGGGCTTCTGGGCGCCGCTTGGGGCCGAGGGCTCGATATGTCCGTTCCAGTTCCCACTTTGGGCCTCCTCTTTGGGCTGGCCTGGTGCCATCTTGGGCCGTGTCGGAGGCCTCTTGGGCCGTTTTGGAGGTCTATTGGCCTGCCTTGGGGCGATATTGGAGGCCTTTGGGCCGTCTTGGATCGTCGGGGAGCTGAACAAGTGGGAACGCTGAAATCTCTCACAGAACCAGAAAGATATCGACCATTATTGCTCCCTGGGGCTCTCTTGAGACGCTTCTTGGAGGCATCTTCGGGCGTCTTGCAGGCGTCTGCGGGCGTCTGGAGGCATTTTGAGGGGTTCGGTCCGATCGGTCGGCGACTCGGGGCTTTCTTGGACCATCTTGGGGGCAGTTACCGGAGATCTTCGCACGCCTCTGGCCCGTTGGGCCGCCGAATTTGGCCTCTCACCGAATCGGGTGTCGCGTCTGACCTTCATGTCTCGGAGGGGAGGAGGTGGAGGAGGAGGAGGAGGAGGAGGAGGAGGACTCAACTCCCTCCTGCTGCTCTCTCCTCCTCGTGTTCCCTCCTCCCTCCTCATCCCCCTTCTCCCTCGTCTTGCGTCGACGTCGACGACGACGACGACGACGACGACGACGACGACGACGACGGGGGCACTTGCTAGAGTGGTCGGGGGGGCATTTGGGGGACCTCCTGGAGCCGCATCGCTGGCACTTGCTAGAGTGGTCAGGGGGGCAGTTGGGGGGCCTCCTGGAGCCGCTTGGGAGCTCCTTGGGGGCCTCGTGAGGGCCTTTTGGGGGCCTCCTGGGGCTTTTTAGGGGCCTCCTGGGGGCTTCTTAGGGCCGACGGCTCGAAATGTTGTTTCGTGTTCCCCCCCTGTGGCTTCTCTTAAAGCATTCTTGGGGCCCTCTTGGGCCGTCTTGGAGGCCTCTTGGGCCGTCTTGGAACCCTCTTGGGCCGTCTTGGGGCCCTGTCGGAGGCCTCTCGGGCCTCTTAGGGCGATCTTGGGGGCCTGATGGGCCGTCTTGGGGCGTCGCGATACCGAAAAGGTGGAAACGCCAAAATCTCCCCAAAACCTAAGGAAAAGCAATGAATGTTGCCTCTTGGGGCCCTCCTGGGAGTGCTCTTGAAAGCCTAGTGGGGCGTCTGAGGGCTACCTTGAGCGTCTTGGAGCGATCTTGTGGCATCTCGGACCCTTGGTGTCCCATCTTGGGGGCCTCTTGGGCGCTCTTGGCTCTCCTTGGGACTCTCTCTTGGCCCTTCTTGGGGCTCTCGGGGACGTCTCGGGGCCCTGTTGGTGCGCTCCTGGAGCGCTCTGGGGGCTTCTCCCGGGCCATGCCAGGGTACTTTTCGTCCGGGGACCCCCAGGGGCCGCCCCGCGCGCGCGAACTAGAAATACTGTGAGCCAGTTACCGGAGGTCTTAGCACGCCTCTGGCCCGTTGGGCCGGCGAATTGTTACAGGGCAGTGCAGGGCGTTGGTCGTGTTTTCGTTGCGACGCCCTTATTTTCTCGCAGCGTCGGATTTCCAGGAAAGTGGCGGCGAACTGGCCGCTTCGATCTTGGTCGAGTCGCTGGCTGTCTGGGACCGTTCGAGCCGTGCTTCCCCAGACATCCGCCGTCGCGATGTTTTCACAACGTGGCCCCCCAGAGGTCTGGACTCCTTCCTGGGAACCGGCCTTTCATCCCAGGTCGCTTTTTGGCGGTCCTGGGGCCCCCTGAGGGCCCCTGGATGCCGAGAGTTGCCGAAGAGCGCGGGACATGATTCTTCCACGGCGCGAGGATGTCAGGGGCTGTACAACTTAGTCGGGGAAACGTAAGACTTGAGTACGGCGGAGCTCGGGCTTGCCGACGCTTTTTAACAGACGCGTCTTGGATTTTGACGGTCCAGTGTTTGTTGGATGTTTGCAGCGGGAGTTCGCGCCAAATATCATGTTGAACCTCGTCGTTTTCATGATTGACCCGTCAGGCCAATCCGGGTCTCCCGAACCCAATTATCACGCCTCGATGCGCCCGCGTTGATTCGCAGCGCGTACCTTGCTCAAGACGTCCGTGTCAATACGTTGCGCGTTGGCCCACGCATTGGCGAACGTATCGCGTCGGGCCTGCCTCGTCGGTCGACGCGTTGAGCTCCGTGTCGACACGCGACGTGCTGCGTGTTGCGCATCGGGGCAGCTAAGCTCTCACTCAGAGGCGACGATAGGGGCGAATAGCCCAGGGGGGAGCAATATTGCACGTATCCAGGCGCGCCGATGATCCACGTCTTCGGCGAGGCTCCCCTGCGAGTGCGTGCAATGCCCGCCCCTCGGCTGTTCGCCCTTGTTGTCCCCGCCGACTTACGCCTCCCCGACTTGGACTCAAGAGCTCCCGCCGTGATGTTTTTGCCCTGCCGCGGCCTGCCCGCCGCGTCGGCTGCCGGGAGTGCTCCGCCCCGCTCTGCCTGGCCGTGCCGCGTGCCCGCCGGCAGGTGCCCGCCTCTCGACGGCAGGCCGTCGAGCAGTGGCGAGTCGCCCTGGCTCGCCCACAGGCCTGCCAGAGGAAGTTCTGAGAACCCTCTGTGGCCTCAGCGGCTCCACATTTCTGGCCGGGGCCGCCGTGCTTGAACACATCGGGCCCATGTTCTGAGAGCGCTGCTGCTGCTCCTGCTACACTGCAGGGTTCTGAGAACGTTTCGTGGGAGACCTACAGGAATGCTGGGACGGCCAGTCCCTGCTCAAGGCTGGCTCGTGCAACGCCAGAGCTGGCTGGTTCGGTGGTCGTTGCTCAAAAGGCCTGGAGCCTTTTCGGCGGCGCGCACAAGCCTCCCAGATTGGCAACCGGCAACCAAATGTTCCAACGACCTCTCGGCCCTCGAACCTCTCGAGCCTGGGCCAAAGACACCCCCCCCAGCAGGACCAACCAGCATCGAATCGGGAAATCGGATCGAGTCGGAAGGTGCGCCGGATCGGTTGGCGGCGCGCAGAGGGGGGTGAGGAGAGGGGGGAAGGCTTCTTAGAAGGAGGCTGCGCCCTACATCTACAGACAAGGCCCGCCCCTGCTAAGCAACAGGAGTGCTTCTAAGAAGCCTCCCCCCTCCACAGTTACACAATATCAATACTACCCTCCTCTCTCCCCTGATGACGTCCGGAATATGTTCGCCCCCCCTCCGCATATTCTTTTTTACACCGGATTTTTGGGAGTTAGGTTTTCGCTTGGGTTTTTTGTTCGAAATGTTGTTCCCGCTGCAGCGCTGGCCTCACTTCCGGGTTTCCGCTCGTTCCGAATCGTGCTCCCGCTGCAGCGCTGGCCTCATTTCCGGGTTTCCGCTCGTTCCGAATCGTGCTCCCGCTGCAGCGTTGGCGTCATTATTTCCAGTGCCATGCCACGTCATGCAATGCAATGTTGTTTGGTGTTCCGCTGTGCGATACCATGCCTTCAGCTGAAATTATAGGATATATAGTTCTTGACTACGCAGTGCCACGCCATGCTATGCCGTGCTACGCTTTGATCTTCAACGCCATGCTATGCCTTTGTGATGCAACTCTTCACTACGCAACGCCACGCCATGCTATGACATACTACGCTCTGCCGTGCTTCTCTACGCCCTGTCATGCTGTGCTCTACGATGCATCGCTCACCCTCACGGGATCATTGCCTTGCTCGACATCCGACTGTGCGAATAGAGGGGAGATCTAAGCCATGATAAGGCATGGGAGGGAAGGGTAGGACGTCAGATGTGACGCGAGCGCACCTAGCTTGCCTACCCCCCTCTGCGCGTGGCCCACCTTCACTGCCCCGATGAACGCGTCTTGAATCGCAACACGTACCGTGCTCAAGACGTCCGTGTTGACACGTTGCGTGGTGGCTCACCGTGTAGGCCCACGTTTTGTCTAACGCACCGCGCCAGATCCACTTGTTCAGTCTGCGTGTTGAGCTCCGCATCAACACGCTACGGGTTGCGTGTTTGGGGTACCGGGGCAGCTAAACACTTGGAGCCGCTCCGCCGACGTCCCACGTATGGATGTGCGAATGTATACACGCCGGTCGTTGAGAGTAGTTATCTCTGGATTCCCGTAGGCATTTCTGGATTCCCAGATCCCAATCTAACTGAAGCACCTTCCTACGTCAAGCGTCGGCATGCTCCGATTGTGCTCTGTTGTTCTCTGGGAGGGCCTGAACCCCCAATCTACTTTATCCGCCTCCCTGCTTCATGCCTTTACCAGGTGTATTACCGATCTCAACCACTTTTGGCTGGCGACGTGTTTCGGACTCTAGGTCCTCTTCTGGTTCAAAAGGCTGCGGTGTCCCACGCGCGTGCCGTGCAACGCGCGAGCAAGGCAGCAAGAGGTCAAGAGGCCTGAACCCCCAATCTACTTTATCCGCCTTCCTGCTTCACGCCTTTACCGGTTTCTTCCCGCCGGCGTGTGCACAGACCCGCTCGCGTCGTAAACGAAACGGCCGACGGCTTGTTTTAAGTCGGGCCTGTCCCTCTGCAGGAGGAATATCCAAAAAATAGTCAAAGAAATAGCATGAGGACGATTGTTCTAGCACTTTGTTGACAATGTTGGTTTATTGTTTGACTATTTATGATTTTTCGTACAGTAGGAGGACAGGCACGACTTAAGGCTTGCTACGGCTTTGCAGCCTCCGGGGGCCTCTGCCGAGCCCCGGGGCTGGACAGCAGCCCGGGGCGAAGGGCTGGCCCCGGGGGACGGCTGCAGGCCCGTGAGGCTGCGCGCCGTTCAGAGATCCTGCCTTCGGGGGTGGGCACCCCAGGCCGCCTCGCGCTGTGAAAAAATCACGACGGGAGGTTTTTCGTTATTCTCGGCCTCCGGGGGCCCTTCCCTGGCCTCGGGGCCGTCAAAACACGGCTCAGGACGAAGAACTGGTCCCGGGGAAGGGGTCCAGACTTCTGGGGGTCGACGTTGTGAAAAAATCACGACGTCGGGGGTCTGGGACGGCAGGCTGGTGACCTGTCCCTCTACAGGAGGAACACGCAAAAATAGTCAAAAAATTGTCTGGGGACTAGTTTTTGAGTTTCTTTTTTTGGCCACGTTTTAGCACTTTTGGACTATTCTTAATTTTGTCCTCGAAAATCGGCCTGTAAGGGACAGGCCCGACCTAAAAGCGGCTGGTGTCGTGTCGACGCGGCGATCACCGCGGGGGCCTTCAGGCTTGAACGCAGCCCGTGGCCCACTCGAGTAAGCCGGAACTCGGGTTTGCCAACATTTTTTTTGACGAGCGCGTCCTGGGTTCTGACGGCCCAGTTTTCGTGGGACGTCTGCAGCGTCAGCTCGCGTCAGATTGCAGACTGGGCCTCTGCATGTTTTATGATGGCCACCATCAGATCAACCCGAGTCCCCCACACCCGAGTCTTACGTCTCCCCAGAATTGTTCCAGCTTCTCGTAGTTGAGCATCGTTTATCCGATCCCTATCCCCAGCGGCGTGGCCTGGGCCCCCACTGGCCGATTTCTACCCCCCTGATGGGGATATGGGCCGTTCCCTCCGGGCTTCGAGGGGTGTATCCCCAACTTGAGGGGTAAGTTGGTGGGCTCTCGAAGGGGATGGGGATGGGGATGGGGGTCGGTTAAACGATACCGAGTAGTGCAGGGAGGCGATCTCGAGATTCACGGGGGTGGGGGCCGGCACGCAGCAGCGCCCTGGGGCTGCGGATGATTGACGGCTTCGGGGTGCCTGCCCTGCTCGTGGGCGCTGCCCTGCTCATTTGTCGACTAGACGTAAGAGTGGCCTTTCGCCGGAGTGACCTTTGCTGCGGGCCAAACGAGGTTTCAGCGATCGCCGAACGCGAGGCGGCAGTGGCGTCTCGCGCGCTTGTGTTTGGCCCCCCGCGGCTCCCCAAAAGCCGCGCACCAAAGGTCACTCTTGCCCGGGGTCACTCTTGCGTGTCGCCGCATCTGAGGTCGTTGGAGCCCGTTTCTTTATTGCTTGGGGCATGACGGGCGTCATGGCCCCCGCTCCCCCCCCCCCCCTATGACGTAACGCTCCCGCCCCCAGTGCGCTCCGGGCACTGCCGCCGTGCGCATTGGGATCCGCGCACGTGTCCGCGTAGGAATCCGCATAGGTGTCTGGTCCGCAGGCGTCATCGTCGTCGTCGTCGTCGTCGTCGTCGTCCTCGTCGTCGTCGTCGTCGTCGTCGTCGTCGTCGCTCGTGGTTCGTCGCTCGTCGCTCATCGTCGTCGTGCGCGCGGTCGCGGCTGGAACCTGTTTTTACTTCCGGGCCGATGACGGCACTCATCTGGGGGGGAGGGGGTCGATGTCGTCACGTTTCGCGCCGGCGGCGTCTGGGAATGCTTAGGAATGACGGAGGACGGGTAGCACGAACATGTAGGTGGCGATATGCACCACAACGCTTGTGTACATCACAGTGCCCGCGTGCACCACAGCGCCTGCGTACACCACGCCGCCGATGTACAGCACAGCAGCCGCGTGCAGCACAGCGTCAGTTTGTGCCACCGTGCCTGCGGGCACAGCAGCTCCTGTGTACACCACAGCGCCTCCGTACACCACATCAGCCGTGCGCAACACAGCACCAGTGTACACCACAATGCCTGCGTGCATTGCAGTGCCTGTGTACGCCACGGCGCCTGTGTGCACCACATCAGCCGTGTGCAACACAGCACCATTGTTGTGTATAGAATGTCAGAAGGAAGCCTTGTGACAAGATGGAGCGCATGTGGGTTCCAGAGAAACCAATCTAAAACAAATCCTCATGGACAAAGTAGCGCCGCCGGAATCTACGAGTCCTCCCGAGTCCGCCCGCATCACCCTAACTCCCATTTGCGTCCAGGAGGCTCCAGCTAAACTGGCCGTCCAACAACCAAGTGGGCCGATTCAATCGACCATTTTGCGGTGCACACTGAGATGCGCACGTGCGTTGCAACGCCAAACCGCACGACAGGGGGTAAGAAGGAGGAAAAAGAGGAGGAGGAGGAGGAAGAGGAGGAGGAAGAGGAGGAGGAGGAGGAGGTGGAGGAGGAGGGAGGAGGGAAAAACGTCGCATCCGATTGTCAAAACTTTCCTGGTGTGGCGTTTAGTTGTCCGCAGCAGATCCTGACGTACATGCTCCGTTTACCTGTCATATGCACGCAGGCGCTGTGGTGTACACCAGCGCTGCGTTGCACGCGGATGCTGTGGTGTAGACAGGCGCTGTGGCGTGCATAGGCGCTGCGGTGCACGCAAGCACTGTGCTGTACACAGGCGTTGTGTTGCGCATGTCACATGGCTGCTGCGGTGTATGTACACTGGCGCTGTAGTGCTCCCAAGTATTGTGGTATACGCGGGCGGTGCGTTGCACGCGGCTGTTGCGGTGTACGCAGGCGCTATGGTGCACACGCGCGGTGTGGTGCACGCGAGCGTTGTGGTGTACACAGGCGTAATGGGCAGATCCCCACTTACATGCTGCTCGCGTCGTCGTCGTCGCTCGTCGCTCGTCGCTCGTCGCGTCGTGCGCGCGGGCGCGGCTGTGGTGCTGGAGCCACACGGCGGGGGGGGGCGTCACGTCATACCCCCCCGCCCTCCCCCCCTCCCCCCCATGACGCCCGTCATCGCCGAACATAAAGAAACGCGCTCTTGGTTTGGATCGTCCTCTCCGGAGTCTGGCCTCGGCTGGCCCAGCAACATGCAGCCGCTTGTTGATCTGAAGTCGGCCATGTCCCTCTACAGGAGGAACGTTCCAAAATAGTTGTTTTGTTAAAAAATGTCAGGGGGGCGATGTTTCGATAATGTTTGGACTATGTTCAATGTTTGTTGGTTATGTCTTATTTTTCTTAAACATTGCCTGTAGGAGGACATGCCCGACCTAATGTTAATCGTTATCACACCGAACTGCTCTGCATCGCCGTCCTATAGTATTCCTAGCAGCCCATCCAGAAACGATGGCCTGGCGAACCCGGGAGAAGGGAGGCGGCCAGAAATATTGAACCAGGAGACTTCTGGTGGCCTCTGGGATTGCCTCTTGAAGCAACCTTGGAGGTCTCTTGGAGTCTGGTTGGGAATATGGCCTTTGGGGGCCATTCTTGGGGCCATCTGGGAGGCCATCTATCCAAAACAAGGGGGCCCTAAACAAGCCCCCCTGTTTCAAAACAGACCATGTGCCTGTTGGGTCCTCTTGGGACGCTCCTGGGGGCGCTCCAGGAGAATGTTCGGGCCCGCTTTTGAGCGCTTGTTGGCCTCCCTTGTGGCTCTCCCAGGCGACCTTGGAGCCATCCTGAGGCCTCAGAAGCCCACCCGTAACGCAAAAGCGAAAAGGCAAAAAGTTGTATAACCAGATAATGTGTGTATGACTTTGGCCTCTTGGGGGTATTCTCGAAAGGCGCTGTGACAATTTGGAGTCGTATTGGGCCCGTTGGCTTTGTATGCGTTATTGTTAGGCTGTCTTGGAGAGCATCATGAGCGTCTTCGAGGTGTCCAAGATTAGAGTTGGAGGCTCCCAATGTCCAGGAGGTCCGCTGAGGAGCTTGCCCTGTAGCAGGATTTTGAGTCCCCGGGGCGGCGGAACGGGGGAGAGGGTCAGCCAAGCATGTCAAGTTCTTTCTCACCCCCAACAGACGGGGGCTCGTGCGGCGTCTGCAGCTTGCACGGTGGGCTTAACAACACTCATCCTCATCCTCCCCCAATCCTCCATCGACTTCTTCCGCTTCAAATTCCTGCTAATCTTGCTTCTGCTCGTCGTCTCCACCCGTCTCCGAGGCTGTCCGCGGTTCGGTCGGTGCGGTTGCTTTGTAGTCGATTGCGTTCGGTCGGTTCGGTTCGGTCGGTTGTTGTGTTGGTGCCGCGTCGTTGCCCCCTTCTAGGCTGCTCGCGGCCGGTCGGTGTCGGTCGGTTTCGGTATTGTTGTCGGTTCGATTGGGTTTCGTTTGTGTTTGCCTCGTGGACGGTCTTGGCCGATATGCCACCCTCCAAGATGTCTTAGAAACCCCCGTCGGCCCGCCACAAGGCCTCGGAGCCTGTTGCCGCCGAGTAAAACTCTCCGCCTCCTCGTCCTCATCCTGACTCTCCAGCGCTGCTGATGAGTTCCACTGATCTGCCTTGGTCTCAAGCCACGCTCCTTGAGATCATAGAAACGCGCATCGGCCCTCCAGAAGGCATCAGAGCTTGCTGGCGCCGAGCAGAACTCTCCACCTCCTCTCGAGGAAGAAAAAACTGTATAGAGATAAACGTTCGACGGCCCGCGTGGATTTCTCTGATCTGCTTTGGGCCCCCTGGGGCCGCTTCCAGCGCCGCCCCTGACGCGCTCCGCGCTCCGTGGAGATCCACCGCAGATCCAAGAAATCAGCGCGGACCTCCCGAAGTTTATGTTTTTGCAGTTTTGCTTTCGTCTACGTCTGGCGCCGGCGCTGCCGCACGCTAACTTGGTCACGCTAGAAGACGCAATGTAAGAATCGGTATCACACGCAGCCTCCCGCTTATGCCGTGGCGGAAAATGTGGAGGTGCATGGCCAGGGCACGCTGACCGTACGTCGACGCCCATCCTCGAAGAAGAAATGTTGCATACATAGGTTAGCCAGCGTGGACCCCAAACAGTGCGTTATTTTATTGTGGTGGTGCAAGCCACGCGGTGTAAGCGATGTAGTGAAAACTATGCCGCGTAAGCTAAGTATGCGGTGCGGGCTGATCAGGTGGAAACGATGGGGTGTAAGCTATGTCGTGCAAGCTAGGCGGTGTGAACTGAAGGGGCAAGCTTGTGGGCGTAAGCTGATGTCAGCTGGGTTGTGCAGTACATGCGGTGTGAGATCTCTGGTGCAAGCTGTGTGGGGCAAGCTGTGTGGTGAGAGCTGTGCCGTGTGCATGCTCAGAGCATGGGCGGGGCGCCCACGAGGCGCCCACGAGGCGGCACGAGGCGGCGACGTGGAGCAACCTCGGCAGACCCTCCTACAGCGCACGGAGCGCCGCACGGGGCGCCTGCGAGCACGGGCGGCATCTCTGGCGAAGCCTCCGCACACACGCACACACACACACACACCAAAAGCGCGGGGCCCCCACGAGGCGCCCACGAGGCGGCAGCCTGGGCGCCCACGCGGCGGCAGCGGGCCGCCGCGTGGCGAAGCTTGGGAGTGTACCCCTCCGCTTCTGTGAGGAGCGAAGTAAGAAACCCGAAGTGTGAGCACTGTCGGAGGAATACAGGATCCGGCTTGAAGAAGGAACACCTACTTTTCAAAAGGGGCTCCGCTCTTGGTACTCCTCAGAAGGGGCTTCGTAGACTTACTTGGACAAAAAGGACTTCGTTCCCTATTTCTCGCTCCTTCGGTCAGGCCGAATACTGTAAACTTCGGGAGGTCCGCGCGGATGTCCTTGTTCGGCGCCGGGCCCTTGTGGCGGCGATGCTGGCGCCGCCCCTGGCGCGCTCCGCGCGCCAGGGAGGGGGATCCGGCGCGGATCGAAGAAATCCGCGCGGACCGTCGGAAGTGTATGTTGTTACGCAGTTGTTCCCCATAGCCTAAGATGGGTGTCTGGTGATCCCATATTCTACGATGGAGCTCTTCTTACTACTCAGACGCCCTCGACACACACACACACACACACACCGCACCTCTCTCTCCCCCCACTCCTCTTGCTCATTCAAAGCCCTCATATTTAGATCCACTTGCACTCAGACGCGGTCATACTCAAGCTCACACCCAGACTCATTCACATCCTCCTCTTCACTCAGGCCCCCTCAGACGAAAGACTCATTCATACTCAGACTCGCTCACACCCAGACCACTCACATCCTCCCCTTTCTCATTCAGACTCACTCATACCCAGAGTGCGACGATTTCTCGAGACACGCGCTAGCTTCAGCACTCCAAGGGGGAACCGCCAGGGGGTATTTCACAGGCCCGTTCGCGCCCAGATTGTAGGGGGTTCTCAGGCGGGTTGCTTGCTCGGTGGCTTGGACGTCGGCGCTTTCAGAGCAGAGTGTGAGGATGTCTCGAGCGAGGCGCTGGCTTAAGCACCCCAAGGGGGACCAGGGGATATTTCACGGGCCCGTTCGCGCCCAGAGTGTGGGGATGTCTCAGGCGGTTTGTTTGTTCAGTGGCTTGGAGGTCGGTAATTTCAGAACAGAATGTAAATATGTCTCGAGTGAGGCGCTGGCTTCAGCACCCCAAGGGGAGCCGCCAGAGGGTATTTCACGGGCCCACTCAGAGTGTGGGGATGTCTCGGGCAATTTGCTTGATTGGTGGCTTGCTTTCGAAGCAGAGTGTGAGAATGTATCCGGCGATTTGTTGGTTTCAGCATTCCAAGGGAGAGCCGCCAGGGGGTATTTCACGGGCCCCGTCGCGCCAAGATTGTAGGGGATGTGTCAGGTTGTGCGCGTGTTTGGTGTCTTCGACTTCGGTGTTTTTTTCCGAACGCGAGGATGTCTCGAGCGAGGCGCTGGCTTCAGCACCCCCGGCGGCCAGATCGCGGGAATGTATCGAGCGAGGCATTCGCTGTGCCACCTCCGACACGTGTCCAATCAGAGCCCCCGTGCTAAATTCGATGTACGAGGTGGTAGGGAGAAGGACGGCCGCCGTGACAGGGGGGGGAGGAGGGAGGAGGAAGCTGGAAGGAGGGAGAAGGGAGGAGAGTGGAAGAGAACGGAGGGAGCACGACGAGTAGCAAGAGGAAGGAGAGGGGAGGGGGCCTGCTCACCGCCTCTCTGTCCCGTGAGTTGCGGCCGTTGCTGCCCCTCATTGCCGCCGCCGTCGTCGTCGTCGTCGTCGTCGTCGTCCACTCCGACTCGCTCTCACACTCAGACGCTCACGGCCAGACACTCACGGCGGGACGTGCAAAGAAATGGCATGCACGCATCGGGATCTCCGCGTCGAGTGATTACCCTCCACGCCGCCGACTCACACCACAAGCCTGCCCCTCCCTCCACCCATCCTCTTCCTCGGTCAGGCTCAGTCATGATTCAAAAATCACTCGCACCCAGACTCAGTCATATTCACACCCATTCATATTCAGATTCGCTCACACCCAGACTCGCTCACCTCCTCGTACCCACTCGGACTCACTCATGCACAAACTCACTCGCGTTCAGACTTACCCGTTCTCCGACTACTCACAGATAGGCCCAATCGCATTCAGGCCCAGTCATGTTCAGGCTCATGCATGCTCAATTTCATTCAATTCAGAGCCATTCGCACCCAGACTCGCACACGACCAGGCTCACTCGCACTTAGACTCGCAGTTAGGCTCGCGCTCACTCACCCTCTGTGGCAGCCGCCACGGGGTGCTTCACGGGCCCGTTCGCGGCCAGACTGCGGGGACGCCTCACGCCGTTTGTTTGTTCGGTGGGTTGGATTTGTTTGCTTTCGGGGCAGACTGCGATGATGTCTCGAGCAACTTGCTAGCCCCAAGGGGGAGCCGCCAGAGGCTATTTCACGGGCCCGTTCGCGACCAGATTGTGGCGAGGTCTCCGGCAGCTTGACTGGCAGCTTGGATTGGCTTGCTTTCGGTGCAGGGTGCGAGGATGTGTCCAGCGATTTGTTGGTTTCAGCACCCCAGCGGGGAGCCGCCAGGGGGTGTTTCACGGGCACGTTCGCGCCCAAGTTGTGGGGACGTCTCAGGCGGTTTGCTTGCTCGGTGGCTTGGACGTTGGTGCGTTCAGAACAGAGTGTGAACATGTCTCAAGCGAGGCGCTGGTTTCAGCACCCCATGGGACAGCAGTCAGGGGGTATTTCAGAGACCCGCTCGCGCCCAGGTTGTGGAGATATCTCAGGCGGTTTGCCTGTTTGGTGGCCCAGACTCGTCTGCGTTCAGATCAGAGTGTGAGAATACCTCAAGCCACTCATCCGTTTCAGCACCCCAGGCGGCCGCACCTGTCCATTCAAAGCCCCATATGATAATTCCTATGTAGGGGCAAGGACGGTCGCCAGGACGGAGTAGGAAGTAGGACACAGGAAGAGGGAGAAGGGAGGAGAGTGGAAGTGAAGGAAGGGGATACGACGAGTAGCGATGGGAAGGAGAGGGAATGGGCTTGCTCACCGTCCATCTTGTACGTCTGTGAGTTATCGTCGTCGCTGTCCCTCATCGTAGCCGCCGCTGCCATCGTCGTCGTCGTCGCCGTCGTCGTCGTCGCACTCGTCGTCGCACTCGTCGTCCACTCGGACTCGTTCTGAAACCCCGACGCTCACGGCCAGACGCTCACACTGGGACGTGCCAGGAAATGAGATGCTCACGGTCCGACCTCTGCGTCGAATAATTGTTCCTCCAGGTCCTGAGGAGGAGGAGGAGGAGGCGGAGGAGCATTCGCATGGCCAGGATCAGGGTCTATGGCATCGAGGATGCCTACGGCGAGCCACCGCCGCCCCCTCGTCTTTCTGGAAACGCCCGTGCTGCCAAACGTTGGGCCGCAGTCTTGCCAATGTAGTGGGCCACGTGCTCCCCCAGCTGCTGCGGAAAGGCCCTTGGGGGAAACATTTGCGGAAAGAAATGGAAGGAGGAGAGGGAGGAGGAGGGAGGAGGAGGGAGGAGGGAGGAGGAGGAGGAGGAGGAGGAGGAGGAGGAGGGAGGAGGGAGGAGGAGGAGGAGGAGGAGGAGGAGGAGGAGGAGGGAGGAGGAGGGAGGAGGAGGAGGAGGGGAGGAGGAGGAGGAGGAAAAGTCGGCCTTCGAGGCCACTCAGGGCCTGCCTCGCTGCCGTGGGAGGTCTGCGGGACCGTCCTGCGACCCCGCCGTCGAGGAGCCCACGTCGGCCCCCCCCTCGGGCCCTCCTGGCCCCGTCCTGGGGGCTCGCGCGGTGGAGCGACTGCTGCGGGCGCCGCTCTGCCGCTGCCGCCTGCGGGCAGGCTCGGGGCGGGCCGAGGGACCCCCTGCGCGGCCGGACTGCGGGAGGGCCGCCTCCCGCAGGGCCGCGGCCGCCTCGGTGGCGGTCTGCGGCGGGCGGCCGTGCGGAGAGCTCGCAGCAGCTGCTCCGCTTCAGGCCGCCGCCGTCTCCGCCCCAGGGCCACCCCCCTTCTCGGGCTCGCGCCCGCGCTCGGCGCGGCGTGGGCCAGGCGCCCCGGCCTGCCGCAGCCGCTCGGCCTCTGCGCCGTCGTCGGCGGTCTGCCGGGCGTCCGCGCCGCCCGTGCGCCCTGCCCGTGATGGCCGCTGCTTGCTGCCACGGAGGGGCCGTGGGGACCCCCAGCGGCCTCGGGCACCCGAAGCACGGCTCGCGGCCCCGCTGGTAGCCATGTTGCTCGACCGTGTGCTGCGCCAGGAGCTCACGAGGAATCGAAGGGTAGAGCCTGCCGCGGGGCGCGCCGCGGTAGACTTCAGCATGGAGCAGGCCAGGCGAGTGCGAACGCTGCAGCGCGTCGGCGGCCTCCATGTGTTGTCACAAACAGCAGGTACACTCCAGCCAAAATGGCCACGGCGGTAAGAAGAAGAAGAAGTGGACGAGGCAGAGGAGGAGAAGGGCGAAGAGGACGAGGAGGAGGAAGAAGAAAAAGCAGGGGGGGAGGAGGAGGAGGAGAAGGAGGAGGAGGAGCAGCAGCAGCAGCAGCAATGGCCGACCCAGGCATCCGGTGCCATGATTTTTTCATTGCGGAATCCCTG